TATATATAAAATGTATGTATATGTATATATATCTTCTATTCAGTGTCTCTCATTATAGAACCGGCACTCAATCATAACCCTTAAGGGTTTTTTATCTTGTCCATCAGCTCTCAGCCACACACATCCCTCCATGGCATTAGACTGGGGGAATGATGAAGGAGTAAAGAACTGCATCAAAGCAGGAGAAAGGGAGATGGAGTGGCAGAGCACTGTGGGCTGACAGGTGTTTAGGTACGGGCAGAGACTTCATCAGTCCTCCTCATCAGTCCTTCTGTCCACTCCAGTGCTGCAGTACTACTTGTTCAGCCGGCTGCAAGAGAAAAGTACTGTGTGAGTACCAGTACTGTAGAGGTGAAAGGCTTCCCTTGCATGCCCTCAAGCCAGCCAACCCTCCACTTTTTTTTGCTTTGTGTAGAGAATGGCCACCCCTCTCTGTAGCTGAGGATGCAAACGACTACTTGTGCATCCACATGGCTGTGGTTTAGGTTTCAGTTACACTGAGCTGCTTACTTGGCAAAGAGGGTTAGAGAACAACTGCATCAGCACTTGTATTGCACAGATTTATCTAGTTTTTTATGTAGACGTATGGGCTTTGTCCTCTCCTTTTGGGGATTATTTTGTAACCTTGATAAGTGGGTGAAAACAAGGTGAATTATTTGACACACGTTATGCTAACCAACTCTTCATCGCATATACATCCCTGCTACGAAGCAGTATTTTCCAATAAACACTCTCACTGAATTCTCAGCGACAGTGAAAAAAAAAAAGTAAGTGAAACTCTCAGAGTTTGCCACTGTCAAAAAATTAAGCAGAAGTACAGTTCTGCACCTATAGATTCATTGAACTGGTTCATGCAATCATTTATACTGTACTTAGTTCTCCACTTCCAGTGACAGAGTAGCTGCCAGAGTTTCTCCACGGCTGCTTATGATGTCTGCTATCATATAAACTTAAAGTCCTGGAAAAAGGCAGCTTCTCTGCTGAGAAATCCTTGCTCCCATGAAAAGGGCCAGGACATGATGGTGTATTTCATATCACCCAAGGCCTTTGGGAGAGGGCATGGTTCATGGTGTGCTGTGGCTTTCTCCTCTTTTCCCTTGCTCCCAGGAGGGTACTGACAATTTTCACAAATTGCAGTCCAGCACTGTGCTAGCAGAGCTGGAATCACATTATGGACATAGTGGATTTCTAAAATTTGGGCTTCATCCTTGAGCTTGGTTGTGTGCCTTTCACCACCGTGACCTTGATATCCAGGTCCCAGATCCACTGTGGAAACCATCAAAGGACTCTGGAGCTCCTGGTTGGGCTTGGCCAACATCTCTCAACATCAAGGTAAGTCAGGTGAAACCTCTGCTCCAAAGTTTCCCAGCAGAGTGCTACCATGGGTTTGGGGCATAACACAAAATTCATTAAACATAGCTCATAACTCTTAAACACGAGTTAACATGAGCTGAAAATGCTGAAATGCAGCTGTAGCATCAAGCAGGCTCAAGTTCCATTCTTCCCCGCTTGACCATCAAGCTCCTCTGTCTTGAAACCAGAGACTTTGCCCACTCCAGATGCCCTCATTGCCACCTACTGTTGACACTGGCACGTCTTGTTTTCCAGCAAGTGTTGTCTTGCTCGTATCATCCTTTTCGCTTGTTGCTGCCAGAAGAGAAGGGATAAATAATGATCTATTATTAGGACATTTTTATGCTTCAAATGCTTTCCTCTGAAGTGGTAGCAAAGCACTGTCTGACATTTGCAGACTCATCTCTAACCATTTGTTTTGAGTTTAAGGATTGACCCTTTATCTGTTCTGCCCTGGACCCAGAGAGAAAATCGGACTCCTCCTGTGGTTTGGGGAGGATGTCATCTCTTCACCTTTCACAGAGACCAAGGCACTCACCCTTCTCCGCTGCCAGCTTATACCACTGATGATGCACAGGCACGCAAGGCCAAACACCAACATGCTGCCTCCAATACTTGCTCCAGTTATCACATATCTAATCCAAACAGAGGCTTCCTCTGTGGAAGGAGAAAAGTATTCAGAGAGCAATACAAAGAGCATTTTAAGGGTTTTTTTGGGGGGTGGAGGCAGGGATGTGGTGCCAGTTTCCATACCCACGGGGTAACTCAGGCTGATCTTCATGTCGTTGTCTTCTATGAGGTGGCAGTTCCACAGCCCTGCAGAACTGACCTTCACCTCCACCTTTGACTCATGCTGCTTGGACTCCTTGACATCCATCTGAGTCCCATTCACACGTTCCCAGCGCAGGCGGGTGTTGGATGGGAGTGAACCAGAGACCTGGCAGGTCAAGGTCATCTCGGCCCCTTTGGGAAGTGGCCCAACAGGGTTGGCTGAGACTGTAAAGGTAAGAAAAGGACATGTGAGTGAGAGGATGGGAAGATGGGTCCATACTCCTGTGGCTTCCAGATTTTCATCACTTGACCCATTTCTCTTTCACCTTTCATCACCACCAGCTCTATCTCGCTCTGCGTGGATCTTGTGTCGTATGCCAGCTGGCACTGGTACTGCCCAGAGGAGTTGAAATGAACTTTGGGGAGTTTCACCTCTATGGGGCTTTCAGGTTTGCTTTCAAGTATCTCAAACCAAAAGTGGCTCCTTTTTTTGGTCTTATGCTGCTCTCTCTGTGCTGTGACGTTGAAATCAAGTAGCTTATGAGTGGTTGCATTTGCCTGTTGTTTCCAATTCAGTTGTCCTGTGAAACCTCTTTCCCATTTTATCTTCTGAAAGTTCAGATGCCACGACAAGATGACAGTGCTACCAACAGTTGCATACTTTCTTTCTGAGTCTGGATTCTGAAAACCTGAATTCAGAAGAGACAAGGCATACAGAGACAGGGAAAGCCATGGCCACACTTTCCTGTGTCCACTCTCAATCCTGGAGAGATGCACGCTGTGCTCAGCTGAAAGACAAGTTGGGAAAAAGCCACAGGATGCCCCAGGAAGGATAAACAGTGTCCAAAAGAATAGGGTTTAAAGAACCAAAGCTCCCAAGCTCACCAGAGCTGAGAAGAACAGATCCCAAGGGGAGGGGGATCTTTTAAAGCAAGTTTGGAGAGGAAAATGGGAGCAAGGGTGTGCAGCAGAGCAATCCCCAAGCTGCAGTGTTGGAAGCACTGGGAAATCGACCCCGGAGCACGGCTGCTTGGGATGCACCAAAGTAAAAGCAGAGCTCATGGACTGGTTTCTGAGCCAGCATGTGAGTTGCATTTCTGTTGTCACATACCTAAGACCTTTACATCAAAGGAGATGTTCTGATTAATCAATGGAGAGTCCGAATGGACATGACACATCCAGGTCCCGCTGTCCATAGCCTTCAGTTTCTGTAACGTCAGTGTGTACTTTTGATGGGTCTTGTCTTGTGAGAGTTCTGGTCTTACCATGTTATTGTTACTGTTAAATAATGCGATTTTGAGACTGGGTAGGGAATGGGGTGCATTTTGCACTAAAGTCAGCTTGAGGTCTTCATTTGGCAGGAAGTGCCTGTCTGAAAGGATCGTCACTGTGAAGAGAGAGAGCGCAGACAGTCAGTCAGCTCCTCTTCTTGCAAAAGAGGGACAAGTGTCACAGCAAAGAGAATACAAAGACTTTGTGCCCTAGAGATGGAGGAGAAATGAACTGCAATAGCCCAGGCCAGCTGGGTAAAGAATCCCAGCAGAGATGTTTCTCCAAACTCTACATCTCCTCCCTGCTCACCTCCTCATGGATAAAAGCCCTCTAATCACTCACATTGAAAGACATGCAGGGAGATACTGACTGCGTGAGAGCCATATTCACAGGTGTAGGTACCAGCGTCGGAGAGCTTTAAGCCCCACACTTTCAGCTGTTTACTGTTGGAGTTGATTTCAGATCGCTCGGTCATGGCAGCTTTGCCTTTTGAAAAAATTAAGCTCGGTTAGGAGGAAAGAGGTTTCTTAGCCAAGTACTGGGAAGAAGCGGTGATGAATTGGAAGCCTTACCTCTCAAATGGGTACCTCTGAACAACCTTATAACAAGCTTGTAGTACTTCCAGGTCACGTCTGCATGATGAGGTACGTCTCTGCAGTTCAGGATCACTGTCTGTCCTGCAACCCCAGTCTGTATTTCATTTTCCTGAGCCATAATGGGGATCAGACCTGAAAGTCAACACCCACCAAAAAAGGCGCACATTCACTTTCTGAAGGGTGGCTCAGTGAATACTTCCCATCCCTCCAGAAAGACACAAATATTTCTCCTCCCTTTCCCAGCTACTGGGAAGATTAACCTCAATTTCTGATTTTTTCACTCCTTTGTCTCATCAATCAATCCCTTTTCTTTTCAGGTCCATAGCTTCCCTCTCCTCCACTTTGTGCTCTTTACCTGGCTAACGGCCATTCTGTTTCACATGCATTCAGAAACAGGGAAATTGCCAGTGCTTGTGGTGGATTCACCATCATTCACAATTTTGCCATGTCAACAGTTTTACTGAAACAACCTTTTTCCACTGGACAAGATTTCGTTGTCCTGCTGGTAGCAAAGGCAGGACAGCATACACCAGCCCTCCTTCACTCCCCAGTCAAGATGTGAGACGTGAGGCAGCACTGGCAAATCTGCTCACCCCTTCTTCCAGTTTTTACACGGAGCAGGACAGAAAGCCCAGGAAAATTGAAGGATAAAGTAGAAAACAAAGGAAAAAGGCTGGCCAAACATCAGTCTCTTGCCTCACTGCTGGTAAGCTCTCAGAGCTGCCTAATCTGCAGATCCCCCTTGTGATCCTAGTACTGGAAAGCCACACAAATGAAAAATAAAAAGTTTACATGAGTTTAAGGAAGGGTTGTCCACAAGCTGCATATTCTCCAAGAGCATAGGTAACCTGCAACATTGCTAATACAGGCTTTCAGTAATTACACATGAGACCACAGAAAATTATAAACTTCTCTTAAACTGTGAAATTATAATTGCTATTAATAGGAGTTGGTATCTTTTGCTTTGCTTTTGGTGCTAGGGTGAGTAAAAGAACTCCAATCTTTCCTCTGTAACCAGAGGGATCACAGCTGAGTATCTGAGAAATGCAGGCTTGGCCTTATTCAGTCGCCCTCCTTTCTTGAAAAATGAGCACTAAGCAATCTCCTAAATTTTATAACATTAGCAGTCAAACTGAGCAAGCCAGTAGCATCACATTTGCAAGGGCAAATCTGTGATGAGAAAGGCCCAAGTTTTTGTCGAGACAGCTGAAGGCAGCATGGAGGACATTATTTTCCACTCTGCTCAGTGTGCACCCTGGCTTTCACAGGAACCCCACTCCTGCATCTCTACGGGGCAGCTCCCCAAACCAGGGAGCTGCTGGGCAGTGCAGGGGTGGGCCAGACAAGGTAAGAAGGCAGCTGTCACACAGGTGTTGCTGGAATGAGCCTGCTCCAAGCCCTGTGAGGTGTCTTATATGGCAAATCGGGAGGAGCCTAGAAACACCCCAAATGCTGTGAGGCTTGTGGAAAGGCCGTAAGAACTGAAAGGGTTCATTTGAGCCGAGGACTCACCCAGATGCAGACCCAAGAAGACAGCAAGCATGCTGCTCACCACCGTGCTGCGCAACTCCATTGCGGTGGGAATGCTCCTCCCTGCTGCACACCGCAGGGCTGGAAATGCTGCTGGTGCCAAGGGATGTTATCCTGGAAGACTCAAATGCTCTGTTAATAATGGTTGATTTTCAGACCTTGGTGGATGAGGCCCATGTTCCCAGTCAGTACCCACCATCCTTCAGTACAGCAAAGTGGAAACTCATTGGTGAAGTCACCTGAGCCCCATGTTTCAAGAAAGAAAGCTGCAGCATTCCCCCAAGAATTATTTCCCTCTATTTGGCACACCTGAGGTCTCATCTAGAACACAGGACGCAGTTTTGGGTGCCTGGTACAAGACAGATGCCAACAAACTGGATACAGTCCAATGGAGGTCTATGGGGACAGTGAGGAGGCTGAAGGACATGATATAGAGTGAGATACAGAGAGCTGGCTTTGGTAGGGAGGAGAGAGCCAAGGTGGGATCTAATTTCAGTCTCCCACTATCTAAAATATGTTAACTAGAAGAAGGAGCCACGTTCTTCTCAGAGGCGTGCAGGAGAGGAGCAGGAGGCAGTGGCCATAAGTTGCAGCAAGGAACATTTAACTAGATACAAAAAACCCAGCTGTGAGCAGGAGGTTGGATTGGAGATCTCCAGGGGTCACCTGCCATCTAAATACTTCTGTGCAATTTTGTGATCCTGTGATTAAGGCTATCCTTAGGATCTTAATATTTTTTTAAATTTTTTTTTTTGTCTACTTACTTCCTACCTTAAAAATCTCAGTAACCACCAAGTCTGATGTTGTTGGAAAGACTTGCTTGAACTCTTAGGACTATTCAACAAAAAGTCTGGGGAGAAAGGAGGAATGAGGTCAGAAAGAAGAAGATGCACTGATGGTAACAAAACCTTAAGTGGGAACTGGGAGCTAAGGTGAACTGTTAATGTTAAGGTGAAATATCATATTAGAGGAAGTGTCTGACTGTAGCAGAGACCAAGTGCTGGTACCAGCTGCAGCTGGGTGGGCTGACAAAGTGAAGGGGACCATGGCTGCTGGTGCCAGGAGGCTATCGAGCTCTCCATCCCTAAACCAAGGCATCTATCACAAAAAGGAAGCCAAGCAGGCTAACTGGTCTGGGGAGCGAGCAAAAACAGTGAGACAACCTCAGCTCTCCGAAAATAGACACTCCCCATGCCAAGAAGCCCCTGGGGCAGACCTTTCCTGTTGCTTGTATTAGGTGTCAGCCCTGCGAGGACTTGTCCCTGGCGGGCATCCACCATATCTGACAGAGACCTCCAAGGGGCCTCTTGTAGCCAAGGTAGCTGAGCCAAAAGGGGCCAGGGAGCCAGATGATGGGGCATGGGGGCAACTCAGGAGCATCCCACCTCCCAGCTCAGTACTGGTCAGGATGAGGCAAAGGTTGTCAGGTTTGTGAAGGGGGAGCTGGAGGGTGCTGTGTGAACACTGAAAGCACAGAAAAGGTCTTACGGGCACGGCTTAGCTTGTAAGGCAGGAAGTTCAAAGCTGGAAATGCTTCTAGAAACAGGCGTAAGATGAGGCAGAGTGCTAGAGTTGCAAAGCGTGACAGAAAGCAGTGTAAAGGAGTATGGAGATCATCAGGAACAGGGGAACTCGGGGAGTATGAGGGGTTGTACAGAAAACATTTGTTAAAACCAAAACAGCACCTGGGTGCTGACGCATAAAGTAAGAACTTTAAAAAAAAAAAAAGACTGGGGAAAATCCAGCAAATATAGATGAGCATAGTATGTGGGCTGAAGCATCTGAAACACAAAAACCCCATGTCCTCAAGTGAAGGGTCAGGCAAATGCTGACAAAGCTCAAAGGACTAGCAGTGGGATGCAAGCTGGACAAGCCGGATCCTCTTTTAATGGAGTATGGGAAAACACTATGGATGCTACCAACGGAGAAAATCAGGTATCAGAGGTAGAACTGATAAGTAGTGGGCACATAGAGGAGCTCAAGGAGATCTGGATCTCTAATAAAAAATTCACACAATTTTTCAGAGAATTCATTAGGAAAGCTGGTGGGATGGCCACTCAGCTCCAGCTGATAACAGAACCCTCCTGTCATAGGTAGTGTGATAGACTGAAGGCTGGAGTCATAATGCATTTGAACTCAAAAGAAATGCAAGAATAATTTTATATAATGTCTATATGTATTATGTGCAATATTAAATATAATATACTCTCTTACAAGATAATTTAATTTTTAAATGGATTTAAATTATCAGAGCACATGAAACTATCAAAGAGTAGATTAAACCATCAGCACAATATTTACATGGACATCAGGTCAACATGACTGACAATCTGACAGCTAGACAGATGTATACAAATACACCTCTGAAAAATACAGATGCAAGAGGAAGGCAGCAGCCATGTGCACCATCAGAGGAGACATAGATGGCAAAGGCACAGCCAGAGATGATTTGTGGCTTGCCTCATGCAAAGCGAAAATCCCATCCCAGCCTCAGGGAATATTTGCATGAGCTGTTTTGTGCGAAAATAGTAAAGCAAAGGAGGCAGTGCATGTGACTGGAGATCACCACTGCAGTAGCAGGGATCAAGCAGTTTGCTGAGCTATGCTGTGGAATAAAGAAAGAGGCAACAACAAGGCTGCTGTATGCACCTCTCTCCAAAGAAACCTCTACAACCGAGAACTGGTGCAGGGCCATGGTAAGATCCATTCCTGAGATGACAGAAGAAACCTCGTCCCTGCTACAAACACACACATCACCTGTCCTAGTGGGACCAGCAGGAAAAGTCAGCTTTTACTACTTATAACTTAACAGGGCCAATGCTGGGTTTCAATTGTTTTACATCATTAAACTTTATGTAAAACCTGAAGGTAATGGAACAGGTAAAAATCAATGAAATCGCTGAGTCACACCCCATCACTTTGTTTTGGCTGGGATGCTCTATATTTCTGTCATCTCATGGCTTCAGTTTGTTCTTTGTCTTCTTACTACCTGGTTATTGAGTGAAACCACACAACCGTGGGACCGGTGAACTGCTGACCTTGTGCAGCTTGGTAGATGCAGATTGATGCACCTTTGCTTTTCTGTTTCTTCTCATGGTTTTGCATGTTCTGCTTTCCTACTTCATTCAGACTAATCTTTGTATTTCTGTGGCAGATCTCTACAATACGATGCTTATCTCCTGCACCTTACAAGTCAGTGGCGAAAAGGGGTTGCCTTCAGCTAGAATTTTTTTCATACACTTTTTCTCTCCCTGTTTAGCTCTACTTCTCATGTGTGCCACTTTCTATTTCCACCCCTGTCTTTCTATCTCATTCTGCATCCCTCCAGGTCAGATCACAGGCGATGCTCCTTTGGAGCTTACAGATCCCAGTGAGCAAGGCTCTGCGATGTTGACTGAGCAAGATGCTCTCATTAGCCGATGTCTGTAGCAGACCCGCAGCCTCCTTACAGGCAGCCCAGCTGTATCTTATGGTGGTTCTCATAAATTAAGTGGTGTCAGGGAATGTCCCCAGGCACTAGAACACGCTCATCAGTCCTGTTAAATTGCTAGATCATTTCCTGACACATTTTTGGCCCAGGACAACTCTTGGTCTCATGACCAACTCCCAGGATGCATTTAGGTGTTAGCAGGGGCCAGGGACCACTCCCATTAGGCAGCTGGCATGGAGCCAGTCCATTTTGCAGGTTGAGTTTAATAGCCCAGACCATCTCATGCCAGTTGGCCTCTGTGGCAGAAACAGTCCAGGCACACTTGATTTATTAGCACGTCTAGTGATGGAGGACCAGGGCTGACTCCCAAGTGAACATTGATTTCATTTTAACTTCCCCCTCTTATTAAACTGGTTTAATTTCCTTCTTGGCTTCTTTTAATAATCCCTGCCTCTCTGAGGAATAGGGAAAGGAGAGCTGAGGCAGCAAGTGGCCTGGGGGATGATGCCTGCAGGAGCAGGCCTGGCCTGGAGAACATCTGCCTGGGATGGCTGCCCCTCGCTCCCTGCAGCACCAAGCCCCAGTGGGCAAGAGCTGCAGAGAGCTTGCCCCCAGGCTGACACCAGCATTACACAAGAGGAAACTGAAATTAAAAAAACCAACCAAACAAAAACCAACAACTAAAAAACTCAGAAACCGCTCCTGATGCAGAGTGGGCCATTTCCCCCTCTCTGTTCATTCCTGCGCCTCTTTCATGCAGTGCGGTTTTCTTGTTTTCTTCTCTCGCTCTAGCTTGTGGCTGTGCTTTTGATCTGGCAGCATCTCGCTGTGTTGGGGCGGTGCGGGGAGGGCCTCCCAGCCATCATCTGTCCGCACCAGGGCTCCACACTTCAGCCTCAGCTGCTGCTCTGTGTTTCCCCTTGCACCAGCTGCCAGGTAAGAGTGGAGTGACATGGCTGCCTCTTGTCCCTGCATGTCGCTTTGGCTTGGCTTTGGGGCTCTGGATTGCAGGGAATCAACCTCTCTTTTTCTCAGTTTAAACATCTAAAGCAGAGCTGATCTGGCTTTTTTACTCAGTAGTGGTTTCTTTGAAATTACTTATTAACGTTAAAGCAAACATACGTGAGCAGCAGGCAGGGTAAGAGACAAAACACAACAAAAATAGCCAGCAGAGAGCAAAGAGGTGATAGCAGTGAAGGCCATTTCATGGGCCCCACTGTCCCCCTAGACTGGCCGACTCTTCCTCGGTTTCCCCTTGAGCTCCTCTGAGAAAGGCTGTCACCGTTGGGAGCTGCTGCGAGAAGGAGGTGCTGGAGCAGGGTCTGCGGGGCCAGGTCAGTGTAAGCTGCCATCTGCCACCCAGAGAGAGGTCCTATTGATAGGAGGAGGCAGAGGGATGAGGCTGCCGTGCCAGCACCAGCCGAGCTCTCTTCAGCCCTGAAATCCCTGTGGCGTAGCCGTGTGCCTGGACCCATGTGAAGGCCACAAGAAGCGGCTCCATCTCTGCAGCCTGGGCTGCTCCCTAACCCCTCTGGCAGCCTAAGGGGAAGCCAAGAACTGCCTGTGCCTCACAGGCATTTCAG